AGTAGGCCTACTATTTTCCAGTCGTAGTACGGATACTGCCTCCTTTGTATTAGAACAGTCTAAACATTATAAAAGACTTTAGTTTCTTTAACTCAGACATACAAATTGTCAGACCGAAAAATCACCACCCAAAATATATCCATTATGTACACTACCAAAGAACATCTTTATGACAACCAACAAAAAAGTATAACAAAGTGTAGGTGTGTATGTTTTGGCGGAAGCCATTTTAACGGCTTCCAGCAGTAGCTACAATTTTAAGTAGGGTGCGAGTTGTCTAATTGTAGAGTGTGGGACTTCGATCTAAGAGGAACCGGGTTCAAATTCCGCCAATTGCCAAGGGCGGTGAAGTTGGGTCTAAGACTCAAAGACGCCATCAGCAACAATTACAAATAATATGTATCTGTGTTTTATTTTACTCCTAACTTTTCAAACTTACCCTACTCTAATATTAGTTTCTTAAACATAATTACCTTGATTTAACTCAATTCGTTAACTTCTCACTTTAGTGATAAATTACTATAATGTTTCGATTTTGTTCTGTGCAAAATGATAACAACAATCAACTATCATAACTTAGTATATTTATTTTGAAGTGTGATACGTACAACGGTATGTAAAAGTATCGTGTTTGAACTATAAGGACCTAATAGTAGCACCTAGGTTCTACGCATATAGACTTACTGAATCATCTATAAGCAAGGACCTGATAGTAGCACCTAGGTTCTACGCATATAGACTTACTGAATCATCTATAAGCAAGGACCTGATAGTAGCACCTAGGTTCTACGCATATAGACTTACTGAATCATCTATAAGCTTTAGCTATAATCCTGTGTTAGCTTTCCTTATCTGCTGTTCAATCGAACTTCATCTAAATACCGTATTTGGGTGTTATAATGTAGGCAATTGCTTCAATAGATAAAAATATAAACATTATCTTAAATTTTGAACTTTACTGTTTAATATATATATTTTGATTTATCACATTTATATTCTCCTAGATAAAAATAATAATAAGCGGCTTTTATTTAAAGTGGCTTTCAGTAACAATACTGTTTTCAAAACTACTCAAGTTAATACAAAAGAAATATTACAATTAAAATAATTGACCTATTAAGTACCTATTAAGTACTTGTATTTACAAAAGACATTTTTTGGAATTTAATCGAAAAGATTCTTTTGAAAGTTTTTTTTTTTATTTTTCTGGCAGTTAGTTGTATTTTTGAGGAGCAAAAAAAGAAAATCCTCTTCTCCATGTTCTAATTGGACACGAGGCAAGTGCAGCAGGCCATTCTGTCTAGTACTCCTCTCTTTAACATCTCTTAGTTTTCAACTTATATTTCAGATTAGTAGGTCTGCTAGTGGTGGTAACCCTGTGAACAATAGCCACAGCCACTTAACAAACATTCTGTCTGCACACGCAGCATCCCACTTTGCTTTCTAAAGGAATGTATGTGATCAAATTTTCTGAAATCATACACAAATCTGAAGGCTTCGTTTTTCAAAGGATTGATCAAATTAGTATGTTCAATTGACAGGCTGAAATCAAAGACAGGTAAAGCATAGTTAACAACCGGCATTACCAAAGCCTTCACTATTTGTAGTTTTACATCTTCTGTCAGAATGTTTCTAAATCCTTTCAATACTCGGAGTGAGTACCTCTTAAACGATTGATTTTACTTGTGTTGAAAATTTCAACTCTACGTCAATTGTGAGACCAAAAGTTTTAATTTCTCAGTAGCCTTCAACATCATGTTACCCAGAATTACGTTGAGATAGTGTTTGTGACTTAAATAATGCATACTGCGTTAATTAGTAAAATGTTATAAGAAACACTTCTCAACATTAAAAGCCAGCCCATAGTTCTTGGACCACTGAGAAATTTTCATCAAATCATAGTTTATCAACTGTTGTGCTTGCAAACTATCCGTGGGCTTGGAAGAAAAGAGAATCTGCATACAAAAAAACAGTGAGTAGTGAGATAATTCGTTATCCTGTCAGCAGTGTAAATAATAAACATCAGGGGCCCCAGTACACTTCCTTGAGGTACTCCACAGTTCGTTGTGAGAGATTTTGAAAGAAACACCATCCACCTTAGTTACCTGGATCCTATTTACAAGGTAAGATTGAAACCAACTTAGAGCTATTTCACCAAGGTGACAAAAGAAAATAGTCGACAAAGGATTTGAAAAAAATTCCGCACATTGTTTTTTTTTTTTTCAATTGCAAACTAGCATCGTATGCCCAAACTAACTATATAATATCAATATTGGAGTTTACAGCATGGAAACCAACTAAAATGTTGGTGTGCGTAGTATTTATACCAGCATATACATTTTTTGTGCCAGGGGTTATTTGAAAGAGAAAGTCCTCCGTACCTGAAATACTGCTTCCTTTTGTGATTCCCAAATACGTAAACTCATAGATTAAGATAAGACATACCACAAAACATGATGCAGTGGCATTAGCATAAAATATGCACAACTTAGTGATTTGTGAGATTTGAACCCGGGCCCACGGGAGAGAAGAAGTATGCTCAAGCCACTGGACTAGCCATATCCAGACAATTTTTGGTTATACGTATTCATATTAAGTAACACAAGCATTTTACATGGTATGTTGTTTTATGTTGTTTTAAGCCATTTTATGTTGTTTTAAAACGAATTTTTAGCTTTGTACAAATAATTTAACTCTAATACTCTTTCCATGAAATTAATAAATTACATGACAAAAAAAGTCAACAAAATCCTTACATGAACTCATTCAACCCCTAAAAGATAGGAATATTTTTGACGTTAATAACAAATTTCTCTGAATTAATTATGACCAAAGTCTATTAACACTAATGCTCTTAGCTTTTATGTTAAAGAGACGATTTGTGTAATTGAAACGCTTTGAAACGCTTGACAAAATTTATTTGATAGCTATATGCATCTAAAATTTCAGGCTCACTTTTAATGCATAAAGTATTGAATTAGATAAACTCACTATTTCTAATTGTTGCGTACTTTTCTATAAATTTTTGGTTGTGTATTTCCAGACTTTATCCATTTCGTTTTACAAATTTTTTTAAAGATCCGACCAGGTCATAAAAGTGGTAAATACTTGGTAATTCAATTAAGTAAGTAAGTTCGGAATCACCCACTGTTAGCAGTGGTAAGGACTGGTATTAGAAGCCAATCAAATACATGAATTGTCCTTCTCTTCTTTATCTGATGTTCACTATTACAGGGACCAAACTACTTTGATCAGTCGTCCTTTAATCTCGCATGATCAGCAGTCCTTTGTACGATTGCTAAAAAGAGATAACTGTAAGTATTTCAAAGTCGGTTCTGTAATTGACAAATTTATAATAACGGTTTTTAGAATAATTGTTCGAATATTTATGTAATTCCGTGATATAGGCTCAATATTAAATACACATTTTCTTCGTATTCGTCAGATATGTTTTAGAATCAGACGGAAAAAAGGTGTATTGTATGGTGGTTGCTATGAATCTTATATACCTACACAACAAAGATGGTTTGATATGAATTTTAGTTAAAGTTAACAAATTTATAACGTTTGCCTAATATTTACTAACCCCTTATATTTCTTGGATCACTTTAAAATAGTTTCACATCGTGAAAAGTGAAAATTGGTTTTTAACAGTTGTTGTAATCACGTGTTTGTTATCAGGAGCTATCACTAGTGGTTTGAGGTTTCTACAGTAATATATTACTGTAAAGTTGATATACTGTGCTATGTTACCTTATCTCAACGTAATATCACTGTACCTAGATTTCAGTTAAAAGTGGACCCAGTTAAATTGATGCTGCCATCGATTACTATTTCTTATTTTATTCGTAACTTTTGTCGAAGCTAAACTGAAATACTAATTACAAACTTATGCGTTTTTATTCCACATTAGTTAATGCACGATATCTATGAGATTTTACAATAATATCAATATTACCTCTCCTTATTACTAATATTTAGTACAGAGCTAATGTGTTCACAATAACAGAAAATACACAAACAATCTTAATTATTAATAAAATGATTACTCTACATTGAAAGGAAATAATTTTCACACTATCCCGCTACAAAAGTATTGTTAGGTAGTGGGGCAAGCAATATTTTGAAGCATTGTGATTAGTATGTTGATTACTGAGTGCAATTTGATTGCAATTAAAGATGTCTATTAAAAGATTCAACGGCCTTCCTCCCCAATTAACTAATGAACTAGACTTTGTTGAAATAAAAAAGAGTCTTTATCCATTATGGTTCATAAAATCTGCTACAGCGTCCTTGACTATATTGGTGGCTTTACATGGACTCATGTAAATATTGCACATAATTATTAATTGCATATAATTAATAAGACCACACCAATAGTCCATTGCCCCTCTTGCTCTGCTTAAAAATATGTATTTATACTAACAGTATACTAAGAAAATTGTAAATGTTTGTTATCTCTTGTGTGTTACTTCAAGCTAGTTCACCATCAAAGCAGCTAGTGAGAACTCTTATCACGCACAGGCAAAAGCGCATGTGATCATTTTGTTGTATTTCTGTATTGTAAAGCTGCTACTGTTTCACCAATGTACAATAAAGATAGATTTGATTTATTATGTTTTGGTAAAGAATCGTAATATTTTTTACCATAATTGGCTATTTGTACGTTAACGAGGCTAAATATATACGACGAATAAATAAGGAATATATATAAATATATATAATTTTTAATTTGACAAAGCCTAATATAATTTTAAGAGCTTTCTGTGAAGTTTTTGTTTATTTGTTAAGTATTTTGCGAAATTCTAGTCTTACCTCAGAATATTCTTCTTTTAGTGCTCGTTATATGCGAAGGGTTGCTGAAAAGAACAAAACAACAACGTTTTTTTATGTAATTAATGTTTTCAAAGCACAATATTAATGTTTTTTGTATTTTATCTTACTCGAGCTACCTCTATAACGGGCAAGTAATCATGGAGGTATAAATAAAAATATCAAGATTTATAATTTAAAACGTATTTATTACAAAGACACGTAAAATGAGACAACATATATTTATTTTGAGCTAAACAATAGTTATATCGATACAGCAAATCACACTAGACACGCGTATAATTATTTACAGTAATTTTAGAACTCAAAGATTGCAATATATCTGGAATAAATTAGAAGATGATTTATTTTAAGGTAAATAGGACGTATAATTCATTCAACGGGACCTTTCTTAAAATATTATAAACTCGTAATATTGAATGAATCACTCACTCATTCAAGACTCTTTTTAAACTTTTAAATAACTAGGTAGTTTGTAGTTTTTAAAAGACTCAAACCTAGTATAATAAAAAAGCATATATAAAGTGTAACTTAAAAATATACACTCCATTATAAATTAATAAAGTTTAGTAACTTAACTATGTTTTTTATTCTATGGAACCGTTGTATTTTTTTGACTTTGAGTATATTACAAACTGAATTGTGAGTACAAAATTGCTGTAAATTGTGTGCCAAAATATTCGAATCATAACTATACTGTCATGGGATTTTTAATGAACGAATAATTATTTACTTTTAAAACAGTTTTCGGACGGTTTTTATTAGTTTGTTTTTATAACTATTTACTTTAAACTGTTTTGCAGAACATAAATAAATAGCACAAAATTTAGCTTTATTCATAACAAGATTTTAAATTTATAATGGTGTAAACAATCATGTCGAGAGAAGAATATATGGCCATAAAATAATAGTTTACTGTTTAACACCATTACATTATAGGCCTAATTAAAATCTATGTTTGAAAAAGTAAGTCTTACAACCGGATAAGTCAATCATATAAATTTATCTGCATAGAACAATAACTGTTTCAATCTCAGCTATAATATTAGCAATGTGTTAATACTTTTTCATTGATAAGTTGTTTAAGTCAACATAAAAAAGCTCGTTAAGAAATGATGTCTATATTTTTTTTTGCTTATACATTACTCTTTAAAATTAGGCCAAGGGATTTTCCATCCCTTTTGAAGAATATGATCAGGAATGTTAAGCAGCTTAAATGTATACTATTGATAACTTGTATCTAATCTTTGTGTTTTGATTTAATATGTCAGGAGTTTATTTTCGCCTGGACGTTGATTGAAATACATATCAACACTAAACATACTTGGAAAACTTCATAAAACATTTTACGATTTTAGTAACTGATTCAATTAATTTCTCAGTTACCAATGCAACTAGTACCAGTCGTTGGTGGCATTTCATTACGACTTACCAACATATTTATACTTATTTAATTCATATTATATTTACACAACACAGCATTGACAAACTTTAATTAGTCTTAAAATATGGCACGATTAAAGCTACAAATAACTCTTTGGAAGGTATTTAACGAAAATAAGGTTAACGTTAAACTTACGTCTAATAATTTTATAAAATTAGGTAGGCTGGAGGTTGACTAAGTTTGAAATAATAATTTGAATATTTCTTGTTCATACTAAAACAAATACACAATTTAGGCTTAAAAATATTCTTAACAAAGTTGTATTTACCCAATTTATAACGATTTTAACCTACATAGGATTCTATATCAACTAATCATAAACAGCTATTTAATCACATATTAAATTACAAAATAGAAAATCTCTTCGCTTAAACTACCATAACCCTATAAAATAAATCACAGGTAACTATGAAAAATCAAATAACAATAAACAAAAACAACAGTGGAACGTACAATTGGAATAAGTGAAGTTATACAATTATTTATTATATTTCATGAAAACTTTATCGTTAGTTGGCACAAAATTTACAGGCGTAGAAAGAAACAAATTTCTGGAAGAATTTGTTTCTACAGTATGATCTGTAGGGAATGTTCAAGCTAAAGTTAAAGGGTATAGTTCTAAAATTCTAATTCTAATATGACTTTTGATAGTTAAAAAAATCTTTCGTGTATGAACATGACAGTTATTGTACAAAGCGATTTACAAAAATGTCAAGAAACTTCAGTAGTAAAACTATATGAAGGTCTTATTAAAACTACAAGTGAAAGTATTTAATTATAAAAATGATTCAACTAGGAACAAAACTATTATAAGGGATATAATAAACTAAACTTATCTAATGTGCCATTCGCCTATCTTAGTCTGAATATTGTGCATTTACCAAAATATTGAAACATATAATTTTAGGTTTTATGCATACAATTTATGCTTAGACAATTTATACATCTATACAAAATTACATTAATTTGAGAATTTACAGGGAAATTTACCAACTAAAATATAATCTTCAAACTCAAGTATGAACTAGTAAGGACCTAAAATTCCATTTTCATGGTGCACTATAGTAATTTAGTTTAAATTATTCGTAAACACATATAAAAACATGTTGGAAACGTGGATTTCCTTTAAAAAAATATACTTGGAAGAGTTATTTCTTGGCACAATCATCAATGAATTGGCTGTGGTAGATTTAGTCACTTGTTCACTGGTGCTCTTTGGGCTGCTCTGTTGCAGATTATACGTAGTCGTTGGTGCCCGGACTCGTCAACGGCTCCTGCGCCTAAGGAAAAACGTTTAAATAAATATATTAAATACATGACAGACAAGAACCCAACATTACGGGATATCAGAAAGTATTTATGGTACAACATTGAGCTTCATATTAGAATCCTCAACTTATTTTTATGTTTTTCAAAATGAGCTTTTAACTCCGAAACCTACCTTAGTAAATCGTCAATGTTATCACCTTAACCATTAATTTCCAAGACATATTTCGGTTTTACGTTGGTAAAATTAAGTCGTTCTCAGATGACCTATAGATGATTTATTGTTGATCATGTACTCTGATTGATATGAAGTTAATAAGTATGAATCAAGCAACATATATAGTAAAAGAGTGGGATGGATTAGAACAGTTTCCCAAACAAAGGTTCTTACCTGTAATGTAAATCTAGCGTAGATACTAACAAAAAGAGGAAACCTATAAAATATGAAATAAAACTTTTAGCGTTTTTAATTATCGATTAGTCATATTTAGCACCGAACCTACTAATGTTCTACAGGACTATTAAAATATCAAATATTTGAAATTTAAGTAATCTTCACAACCATCTGTTTAGGGAATTGGGTACTAATTATTATTAATCTCCAAAAACTAATTCCACCACAACACCGTATTATTTTACGTTATTCTATATTGCCTTTCAGTATGTTTAACTAGTTTTTTAAGTAACCATTTTCAAAAGACTAGGTAGCTTCGAACTCTTTGAATGAATCAATATTGAAAGTATTCTAGTTGTATTCACGATATAGCCACAATATAGGCATAAAGTAATAATATAAATTACTGAGAATCACATTTTATAAAGATAATTTTGAATTGACCAAACAATTAACAAGTAATTAATAAAAAGCTCAACCAGTCTTTAATCTAACGTGTGCAGTACGTAGACAATTTAGTTTTTAAATACGGTTAATTAAATATAGGTATATATTTCCAAAAAATTTTGCTGGTAAAACATTTCATAACAATCTAAAAGATTTAAAACTTCATGCCACATCACAACATTTAACATCGCTTTACATTTGAAACTTACCAAAAAATCATTAAGAGCCTGCATGGAAACATTATATAGTAAGCTTTTGCTCTAATGAACATCATTTCAGTAGGTTATAAATTTACATCCAAACAGTTAAAATCGATTCAATTAGTCATAAAAGATAAAATCAAACATGACCTGACAAAGTAATCAATAATTTTAGACTTTTTGTGAAATTTATTCTTGCAACACAAGACAGGCATTTTGTAGCTAAATAAAGAAATAAAACCAAGAATACATTATGCATAATAAAAACATGTTGTTGTTGTAGTTTTCAAGTGAAATTATGTGTGTGTAAATATTTGTATATGTAATAGTAGTTACGAGGGCTCGTACCTTAAATTTTCCACTCGTGTCGTTAATTTTATCTACGCGAGTTACGTACACTACTTTACCTACGAGAGTTTTTTAATTACTAAAAATAAGTGTTTACCGGACGAGTTACGTACGATAGTTTACGCCATACTACTAAATCTGTACAAATTCTTAACATATTACCACCAACTAAAGGACTAAAAATCACTAATGCTTTTGTTTATAACCACTCATTGCTACCCAAATACAGTGTAAACAGCTGATTGGTATCCAGTAGTACGTAATGAAACCCCATTTGATTAAGCTGGCTTTAAACAGCTGTTTTCTGGACTATATCCTTGCGTGGGAAGTTCGTCAAAATAGTGTATTGTGGCGTAAATCGATATTCAGCATTTCTATTGAAGTTAACACACATTGAAGGTGTTTTTTCCTTAAATGTTTATAAAAGGTTTCGCAGAATTATATGAGTTTTTTTTCTACGCCTGCAAACCTTAAAAAAGTACGTAAATAATTTCCGTACTATTTCCATAATCTTTCGTAAGCTCATATTAACCTAATCAATCACGGCTAAGAAAATCTGTCTCAAGAGTTAAACCAGCTATAAAAACACAATTGAAAATAAACATTATATAATGATTGGTCCATAGTTTTTTTCAACCAACCTCTTCTCCAACCGTGGACGGGTAGATGCGGGTGGGCTGATACTGATTCTTCTCTAAAGAGAATTGATCCTCTGTAGTCTTTCTGTATACAGGGTTGTCGAAGTTCATACTGGTTACATTGCGATGCAGGTAATGCCGGTACACTGCAAGGGCGATCTGGAAAAGTAAAAGTAATTTTTAAAATCTTGAGCAATATAATATGTACATATTTCCTATTGTAAGTCTTCTAACATAAATACAATTGTGTCTGTGTTCTGGGTAGTTCATAGGAGATAGTCCTCGTCGTCGAGGTATCAGGAGATTACCGTTTTGACACTCTAAGACCAGTAGCTTTTTGATGCTTTAACAACTGAGCCAGCTGTAATATTTAGGTCTCTATGGCCCACGCTAAATAGCTGATATTGATGAGTTACAAAGAAAGTAAATAATTCAACACCCCTTCACTGATCTCCGCTTTTATTCAAAATACACTGACATGTCGATGTCGTAATGATAGGTTCTAATCTAAATAGATTTACCAATGACCTTTCAGCTTCCACTCTATAAATTGTCTGTTATACTCAAGGACAGATTGTTCAATTTTGGTAATAGTGACTCCCATGTAAAGTATCTATGTAGTAATCATAATACAAATTGTATTCTTCTACCATCCTCCTGAAAAAGGTTTCCACATTTAATAGTAATTATTGAAGTGGTGAAACTATTTTAGTTTTATAATAGTTCATAGCCCCAGTTTCAAAAATACTTAAAAAATTTAGTTTGTGTAATAAATAATAATTTTGAATTTAAAGACACACAGTTACATTTTAAAACCAAGCAAAGCTGCGCAATTATTTTTTGCAATTACTGTTAAATAAACTTAACTATCCAGGAAACTTGGGACTTTTACAACATCCGTACACAGTCAGCATATTAATAATCTGTCTGTCTTTACGATTTGCGTTTGTGCACAATTTTGACCCTGTTGGTGCAAAATAAACTACTTATTTTGAAAAATATTATAGAACTGTTTATTTAACTATTACTCACCAGTGACACAAATATCAGCACCACCGTGACAACAGCGATGACGACCATTGCGATCATGCCATCATCTGGCTCCTCTGGAATTGGCAAATCTTTGGGCGTCTCATTCTCAATCTCTTTGGTACTTGCTGTTAACAAAAGAATTAGTTTTTGAGTAAGAAAATCGTTAAAATCTTTCGTGATAATATGTAGCCAAAATGAATATCAACCATATTTAATGTGTTGTTCGAGATATAATTGCGAAAAGTGTTCATCACGACAAGTAAATGTTATTAGTAGGAAGCTTTAAGACTTGTTTGGAAATTAAATTTAACTTTTAATAGACAGAACAGAACACAACACCAATACAAAACTGAACAATTACACATTATAAATAATGTCAAATGTTTCATAAATTATATGACCTTATAAGCAGGCTTATTGAAATTGCTTTAACAGTAAAAACTAAGTTTTATCCACGTTTTGAGATTGGGAAGTTTGTAATGTTTTTTAAATTTGCTATCTAGGCATTTATAACGTTCTAGCCTTAAGCGAATCTTAATGTTGGCATGCTTATTAATTTTTTAACCATGCTACCTTTATTTTTATTTCTTTGATATATTTAATTACATTGTGATATATAACGATTCTCAAAATTATGAAAACTACTGTATTGTAACGTGTTAAAAGGACAACACAAATATTTTCTTTGGAATCTGATTTCATCTTCTGTACAGGTGATAATACTAATTTGATAATTAATTGCCTAATTGTTTACAAGTAGGCATACTTAAAATATGTTATATTGGTAAACTTTTAAGACATAATAATATACATGCCGACTTAACCCACACCAGAATATACTTAAAAAATATGTAAAAATAAAATAAATACATTTTTCCGCGGGAAAGAGTATTCAAGAAAGGAGGCCATTTTAATTTATACAATATCATAACCGGTTGGAGTGGTTTAAACCAATAGAGCTAGCAAAGGCATATACACCTTTTATTCATGGTGTAACAAAAAAGTGTAGTGGTCTGTGTAGGACCCAATTTTACAAACCAAAATAATTCGAAAATGCCCTTTAACACTTATATTTGTTATTTCTAGGCAGTAATTGTAAAACTGTAATACACATTTTTGACTTATTTTGTTAGTAAAATTGGGTCCTTTGTAGGGTGCTGTACATTTTATGACACACTCTATGTACGTACAAGTTAAAATAAATTAAATAGGTACAATTATTATAAGTCCAGTCGTGTAAAGATCTAAGTCTAAAGAAACAATTACAGTATATTCATATTCATAATGTAAATTATATATATAAAATAATTTTTATCCACCGTAGATCCCTAAAAAACTATATGGCATTTAAAGTACAGTACTATTGTTGTACATACTTTGTTTTTATTAAATCTGAATACTATAAGTTATTAATAAATTTTATTCGGAATATATTTATATTAAAATTGTAACAATATTTGGTTGGAATTCCTTAGATCTATCTCTTCTCTTGAACGGGAAGCATGTAGCTTACATAGGGAAATAAAAGCTTTATGTTATCGAAAAATTGATAATATCTATATATGTGAAATATATCATCACTATATGAAAATATGAATAATGGATAAATGAATCTATTTCCCTTATCACAAAACCCTTTACAATCATAATAATTATTGTTGAGAAATTTCTCAACAATTAAAATATATTAGTTATTATTCTTGTTTTTATATTTTGATCATTTTCAATCATTAATCACGCGTTCATCCATCCTTTGTAAAAAGGGGTTTTCATTAAATAAATTAATAGTCGCGTTATTGGTTAATTAATATAAACTGTTTACAATATTATAAATGAACAAACGTATGGACTTATTAGATTGTAATACAATAAAGAAGGCATACTTATAATTCAAATTAGTTTAGAATAAGTTTGAAAACCTTTAAAAGTATGGCAGAATAGTAATTTAAGGGCCTATAAGCCAAAGATATAGCCTCTCTTAATTATACAAAACTATTTACACAATCCATCTTATTAATTAAGGTTAGTTGGGAAATTAGAAAGTTAGTTGAAAGCATGAAACTCGTGCAACACATTTGAATAAATAATTTAAGCCAAATTGAAATTAAAGTTTCATATAATAAATAATAAGAAACAACCTTAAAGTAGTTGTAATTATAACGCTTGATATTTAATGTTGGCTCCACGATAAAATTATAATTAGAAGGTTTATCTCTTTTTGGGGTTTCAACTTGAACTATCATATTATTTTGTCAGGAATTACATTTTATTTTGGAATTGACTTAGCAAATTTAGTTGATTAAGGGGTTTACTTTAAAACCACAAGTTGCATAATTGTGTCTCCTTAACTAACAAACAAATTGCCATCGGTAGAAAATAATATACCGTACTGTCATTAATACTATTCATGTCAACAAATGTTCATTATGTATTTATTTTGATAAAACATTAATATATTTTAATCGACATTTTCAAAGTAGAGTGTTCAGAAAAAGCAGCGAGGAAGAAGAAAAGCTCACACATTCGGCAGGTGTACTCACGAACTAATGTAACATTCATCGGAGGTGTCGGTTCTGGGATGATGGTGGTAGGAACTGAAAGAAGAATTTCGTTAAGACTTCGTTGGTTTTTAAACTACTGTGTAAGGTATTTTCTTTCTCTTATTAAAACGGTATTATGATTAGATAGGATTTTTGTTGCCACGATTTTTTTCATCAAAACATTTTTACAATATACTGGGTGAACAACTTAACTTTGCCGCTATTATAAACTATAAGAAATTATAAAATGGGTGTACACAATACGCAACATATCGGGAACAGGAATCTAATCCCTCCCTCAGGTTAAAAAACTTAACTTACACATTACAACTAACAATACACAAAACCCAAACTTAAGCTTCGTTTACACTAGCATGTAGAGCTAGCACAAGTAGGACTTACTAGTCGATGCAAACTATACTTGCATTAAAGAAAAAGTGTACGGTACACTTACCGTTGTAAAGGGAACTTGCTTAAAAGTCGGTCAGTTTTGTAAAATACATATTTGAACAAAAAACTAATTTGTTGTTATTTTTTTAGGCTATCATGTATTAGCTTATAAGATCAGTATTTTTTATTTAGACTTAGCTTTTCCTGAATTTCTTGCACTGAATGGCGTTGCCTAAATAACCGATGTGGTCAATCGCAATAAAGTTTATTATTTATTATTTTGCGAATTTTCAATATTCAGATTTTCCTGTTTTCACAAAAAATCTAGTACTTTAAACATCAAATTATCTTTACTAGTTTAAGGAGAAAATAAAATACTATAATAAAAAATCTATCATAAACAATTAAACTCCATGTTAAGCAATCTCGTCACTTGTTGACAAGTAGCTGTTGCCTGCAAGTGAAAGGTGACAGGTTTACACAGGAAAGTACAGCTTACGCTCTAGTGAAACTTTCGCGAAAGTTATTAGTTTTGCAAGTAAAATATTGCCAAACATATTTTTCTTGCGCAAACAATAGATACATGCTCCTTGCAAGTGCAACTTTTGTGCTCTTTAAAGTTTACATTTGCAATTTTTCTTTGCAAGTAGGATGCAAATAAAACTTGCGCAACGGGGCTGTAATACACTACAGAGAGTGGCAGTCAGCAATCAAGTCATAATAAAAAAGCAAAATATAACCACATTATTGGAAGCTATATTGAAAAAGGGCGGCCATTTTTGAAAAATTGCAATTCATAATTAATTCATAATGCCATAAAAAACAATGAATACCTACCTCTTTTTAATGTTTTCCTTGAATCTAACGCTTTCTGAGATACTTAAGGTAGCAAAGTTAAGTTGTTTCCCTCTATATTATTTTGCAAACATTTGAAACTGATTTGGCCAAAATATTATGTTTTATTCATGTTATTAGTCTTATCATAATTGTTAATAATTTAGTTACCAAATAATAAATACTAAGACATAAAAAACCAAAAGGAAAAACAAACAAAAAAATGATTAAATAGGTTTAAAATTGAATAGGTGAGTCGGAGACTCAGTCGGAGTTTGGGTCAAAGGCAGCAATGTAGTGGTACCTGCTACTACTTTTTAACAGTACACTTCGGCCTTGCCCCATTTTTTGCTGGATACGTTCAGAACACAGGTGAATGGCCTGAGTGGACGGGCAAATGCAAGGTTGTAAGAACTACAATTTTATTTTGAAACACGCCTTTACTAACTTACTTACACCTAAACAAAGTAAGTTGTTTTTCCCTTTGTTGATATTATAAAACAATTGCAATTTCATATCTTGGCTTTTTTTCGTTTTAATTTACCTTTTTTAATTTTTTACCCTTTTCGATATTTTATAATCTTCAAATCTATGCTAACATTTGATTGAATTGTCACCACTGTTCTGTTTTGCCTTTCATAATTAGGTACCAACTTACTTACTTATTTTGAATGGTGAACATTATTGATACAAGGCTTAGCCAATTATTTTTATTTAAAAATTCCATCTTTCTTGCGTTAGTCGAGCAACTCCCAGAGTGTAAAAACGCCTTTGTAGTGTCCACGTTAGATTTGTCAGCACACATTAAATTTTACGATACTTACGATCCTCAGTGCACATAAGACCGTCTGCCATGAGTACTAGGCCGTCAGGACACGCGCAGGATATCTTAGGTGATCTATTGTTGATTTGCGGCGCTGGCAGACACAAATGAGAACAATGGCCGTTGACAGCAGCACAGTAGTTAACACCGTCAGGTTGCCTGTAGGGGTGGTACACGTGCAGGACCATGGGATGCTGGAGCTGTAAGGGAATGAAATTATAGGTTGTATTTCTAATGTTTTTGTTTATAAGCTAAAATGTGACGAGAAGAGAAGGAGGGAAGAAAGAAAATGGACAACGGAAGATCAGAAGATAAAGGGAAATAGCGGGATTTGCTAATTTTGAAAATTAAAGGTGTCTTTGGTGATGAGAGGATAAGAATTAAAAAATATACTGGAAGATCATAGGATAAAGGTTTGTGTTTATCTTAAGATATAAGCAGGGATTGGTGGGATTGAAAGGGTAGATCTGCATGCAATCATGAAATGCTGGTGTTATTGGGCTATTAGAAAGAAACATGTTGAAGGAGGAGCTGTATGGTAAATAATAAACTAGAATTTTGTTTTATGATCTATAGCTTAGTATAAATAAATAAGTTTGTGTCCAAACTAATATTTTTAATTATAAGGTCAACATGAAGAGGTGCATGTAAAATTTGAATAATTGAAATAAACAATTAAAATAGATGTTTATACTACTATAAAACATTGATGAGAGAAAAAAAAGAATAAAGAAATAAAAACAAAATAACCAAACAATTTGTAGGTGTGCAGCTATTGTATGTCAGTGGGTGCTTTAATGGTCCAACTAAACATGTTTCAAAACGATATGACAATTTGTTACCCTTTTTTTTCAAAAATTCCACATCCTTCAAAATATCAAGATAAGTTCTACTTAATGGATTTAATTTTCTTAAAGTTAGTACAGAAACGCAACAGACAATGAACAAGACTTTAACTAATTTTATGTTAAGATTTTTTTTTTACAAAAATAAAGTATTGAATAGTCCTTCAGTTGCCACATTGGAAGGCATGGATTAAACTGCTTAACGTAATATTCTGTATGGACTTTACCATGTGTAACGCAGTTATTGCGTTAACCCTGCTGCCATTGAACTTGTTGGCGCGAAAGATGGCTTGTTTGTCCCAGTCTGTCCAATAGACATGGTCTTCGAACACGCTGATGGAGAATGGATGATGAAGGAACTCAGGAGATCTCAGAACCTTGAGGAACAATCATACTGTTAGTAAAAATAATTTTACTTTTCAATAATAGGGATTGGTGTTATCGTACTCATCTATGTGGGCATGGAATCTGCCAAAAAAGTTAATTTAACAGAGAGTGGAGGTGAGATTTTGGGTAGTGAGAGAGTTACGTTGTATTGAAGTCTTTGAGGGGATTTAATCTAAATTTCTTTAAACCACAGAAAATAACTACACGTTAACAGTAAAAAAGCTTAATAACTAAAATACAATCAAAATATACTAACTTAACTTCATTTTTAATTTTAAACAGTTTTTAGTAATTATTCTCTTAATTTTTATTGACTCTTTGTTTTCAGATTTTTTTTTATAAAAACATTTAATCAATACAGATTTTACAATTATATGATGCACATATTTACTGATTGGAATACATACCACTTAAGAACTACATCTTTAGGTAAAGCATTTGAATTTATCTAAATATTTGAATGACATTTTTGTTGGCACTTATACTTTAAATAAATAATGGTCTTGAAGGTACTAATAGATAAAACAAATTACTTTTAACTTTTACAGTGTTATATTCGTATATAAAATGGCATTTTCACCGATCCGACTTTAATTCCTTGCCTCTGGCTCCCAGCTAGAGTGATTGAATACAAACCAGAACATAGAAGAACATAAGGTACCACGCTTGAACTACTGAACCATTCTGGCCTAACGGTTTTATCCTAGATGCAACAAACATGAAGTAAATATTTACTCGCATTGTACTTACTTGTCTGCGAGCTGCGCCGTCGTAGTCACAGGACGAGATCATGTTCAACTTAGCGTCCACCCAATACACCCTGCGTCTTACCAGGTCCAAGGTGAGTCCATTGGGCCACTTGATGTCATAAGAGACAATAGTTTGTCTGTGAGAGCCGTCTAAGCCAGCGCGCTCTATCTTAGCTTCCTTACCCCAGTCGGTCCAGAACATCCAGCTGAAAGTTTTATCATGTTTACTTCTCCCCTTTACATACTAGAATGTGAGGCTGAATATCGGAACCGTTTAACACATTACTTCGGACTAGTTCCAGAGAGGTCACAAATAAAACTATCACAACTAAAATTGGTGTTTAGTAGGATTTGAATCCGGGATTTTCCGGAATAAAGCTACGTGCTTTGGCTCGTGAGAAATATACCAACTTACTACGAAAATGTTTCATAATTAGAATAGTGAATAATGGTTAAAAATTTCTAAAATGTGTAAGAGAATTTTATTACTCAATGTGAAATAAGTGTACGTGTTTTTGGAAGCACATTTTAGTGAAACTTTGGGCCTACGATAAAAATAGGATTGGGAAAATATGTTTCTTATGGTAACTTATTATTCATGGGTTGTGTAAATGTTGAGCTGAGTGTTATGAATTAGTAAGACATAAGGGTATGTAGACAAATAAAAAAAAATTAAAGATTTAAACTTTTAAATGTCGTAGGTACACATTTTTATTCGGGGTGGCTATTTACATTTAGCCCCCAAATAACATTAAACAAATCATTTCCTTAAATTATATTTATTATCATCGGCTCTGCCATAATCCCTCAATAATCAACCTAACAATAATTGGCTACTACAGTATCAAACTGACTTTAGTGTCGACGTAGTTTTTGAGAAAGTTGCCCATTTAATTCTGAGAAAAATCAATACACTTTTGAAAGTGGACACAACACTGTTATTCATAGGCTTTTTTAGAATGCCCCCTATTATAAATATAAAGCTATACTAGACCAACCAAGTAATAGATGCTATTATTTATGCTCAGGACACGTAACCCTTTTCTTCCCTTTTTTTGGTTATCCCTAACGTGTACTTTCTGTGTATAAACATCCAAGTGCGCCCCTATGTACTTGGTAGCATAGTGATGAACAAACTTCAACTCACCCCTCTAACGGGTTGACGGCGATTGCTCGAGGCTCCTCCAGTCGGTCTGTGATGAGAACTCTCCTCATGCTTCCCTCAAAGTTGGCCAGCTCTATGGTGTTTTTACCGGAGTCTGTCCAGTAGATATGGTTGTAGATCCAGTCCACAGCTAGCCCGTCAGCTGTTGTCATCTCTCCACGAATCACAACGGTTCTGTCACTACCTTCGTCTATTGGAGCTCTGGGGAAAATTTTAAATATTTTTAAAAATATATGATTGGTCGGGAATTTCATACAATTACATGTAAGTATGACAAAATACAAGTTTTACCATTGAATATTAGTCAAAAGTTTTCCTTTTTTTTACTATTCGAGCTAAAATGACCAAGTACCAATTCGTTTGCTTTCTGACATTTTAAACCAATTTATTTATCTTGAACTATGCAAAGTCTCCCCAAACTAGAGGTTTATTTTATTTTATTGAATGAAAAACGTGTGAGTATTGCCTAACATTAAACTATAATGAAAAAAAGAAGTTTTAACGACGGTTACTGTAATTAAAATCTTTTACTTAGAGGTGAATGTCATCAAAATATTTAAAATATAATAGAAATAATGAAAATGGATACGGTTTAATATTTTCAAGGAGACTAATGTTAGTAACATTTAATTTTTATGCTACATACGTAACCATTTATCAACATATTTTTAACAAGTTACAGGAAATAGTACCTATGAGCACCATTATAAAAAAACTGTAATATATGAAAACTAGAATTTTATAGACTGTATACTCACTAACAAATTAATGCATCATGACTTGATTTGAAAAGATTATAGCTTTATTTCTAAGTGGGTTCTGAATGTACAATACTTTTTAAAATACTGATAATTATTAATTATTCTTGCGCAAGTGGGAAAATAAGGAGGTGACTCGGCCAAAGAATAAACACTCATCTAAGACGTTTGAGGGATGAATAAACCAGAGATAACGTAGAAGTATATATCGTATATGAACAAAAACACGCACTTATTACATTCGTCTACAATTTTCTGTTACTCTCATGAATCACAGGGGTCTTACTTGAATATTTTCTGATCAGCCACATCGGTCCAGAAAATCATTCCAGTTCGGAAAACAAAGTCCAAAGCGGTCGCGGACTTGGTGTCGTTTACAATAGCAGTCATCTCGTGGTGGTCCAAAGAGATTTTACGGATATCATGACGTCTTGCAAACAATAAAGATGCGTGACCTGTATGAATAAAGCTACTATTAGTTGAAATATTTATAAGGGTTCTGAAAACAAATTAAATTATGTTCTAGATATGAAGATGTTTTCTTTAAGAAATGTTGATTTGTTGTTTATATTTTTCCGTTTTTGATGGGACATTACTTTAAATATTATTCCCGACTTCATGGAGGTAAGTCATTGTAATGATCTACATTCTAAATATTAAAAGTCTGTATGAATTTAAAACGGATTTACTTTGAGGAAGTACATTACCTTCCAGTTATGAATTACTTTTAATGCACCTCGAATTACCACATGTTTAATTTACTCTTATATAATTTTCCGTTAATGTTGAATCTTTTAAAATAAATTACTATTCTTAATTGATTCCCATTAAAACTAGTCTGTTGGTCATCCTTAACTTTCTTTTTATACGTTGTAAATAACTGACTTAAGACTTTATAATATTTTCTTGATAAATACGAATTGAAATAAAATTGGTAAAGAAACAAAACAATCTTGTGATTAAAAAAATACCAAGTTGGCTGAAACTGTAAGTAATAATAGCCTCATAGATTACTAATTAGTTGTGATAATAACAAAGCATTTGCCTTTCTGAGCTGCTATTCCTAATCAAACTTTACGTTTAGTATAAGGTTATAGTCTGATTTTATGGTAATTGGGATGAGCTGTATAACCATTATGACTTTAATATTTGAAAACAATATATATATTCAATTTAAAGGTGTAGGCTTCACAATGAAATAGAACCTTGCATTTGAAGAGGTTAGTAATGACCATGAGCATTTCAATTATATTACTATACTGAATTGAGTATAATAGCTATTTGTTGAATAGTATTTAAACAATTCCTAATTAGATGAATTTTTTCGGTTTTGGAAAAAACATTTGATCTGTTTAGGTCCTCCTGGATCAGATCTTCCTAGTCACATTGTCATTGAAAAATGTACCTTACGTTAGAAAATTTAATAGTGATAGGAGAAATGGAAGATTATAAAATTTTTTCTTGTTAAGGGCGGCATTCTTGGATAAATTCAATAGCTGCTAAAGAGTTTTTCATCGTCCAAAAAAATTTGTTTTGATACCAAAGAGATTGTCATTTAAATATCTAGTAAACTGTGGAATTTGAAATGTTCTATGTAGTTTTGAATTGTTCTCCAAGGGCGTCCATGGAAACTAACGGCCATCTTTGATTTGCTCGCCAAGTTAATTACGTTATTTTCAAACAGCTGCTGAAGTTGTATTTACCATCTCAAAATAATATTTCAAATACCAAGGTGATTGTAATTAAAAAATCTAGTAAACTGTGGGATTAAAAATTTATTTACAATTTTCTATGTATTTTTTAAATAGTTTTACGAGTTAGAATGTCTAGGCTCCACACTCTTAAGCGAATATTTATCAAAGTATACTAAGATACCGAAACTTTGTTTCTGATAGTGTAAATAAAGTTTTATTTGAAAGACTCACCTTCAGTTGCCTTACACCTCGTCCTGTCATGAGGATCCCGAAGATATCCGTCTTCACATTCACATTTGAATGTGCCTTTCTCGTTGTAGCAGATTTGAGAGCACGCGCCAGGATTCTCACATTCATCAATATCTGAAAGTGTAAGACATGCATAAAACAGCTTATCTGAGTTCAATGTTTCACAAAAGATATGTTCTATGGTTATCTTATGAATTATTTGTTAGGTAATTTAGCCTGTTTCATTAGTTTTCTTAATCGTTTATTCGCAGTGATAAGGTAGGGCAGTGGACGCAAACAAAAATAATCAGAAGAAAAGTTGTAAACTAAGAAAATATATGACTAAGCATCTCACTAGGGGTTCAGGAACCCAAAATATGAAAAATTGTTTAACCAACGTTATTGGAAACTTTTTTTTCAGTTGAATCTCACGCAGCCAGTTAGAGTGACCCATCCCATATTTGGATAAAAATAGGATTGTTCGGGTATAGGTTTTTTGGTAAGCTTACCTAGAGCTTTTGGTAGTTGATATTGAGGTTGATTGGGATTTTCTGGGTTAGGTAGATGAGCGAGTTTTTACATATAAGATGATTTTTTTGCAGAGCACAAAAGTGGTGGTAAAATTGTTATCTAGTTCTTAGGTAGTCACAGGTCAACTGTTACCGAGTCTTTCAAAAACTTTGTTTTATCAGCTAACTTATTCATTTCTGTATATAGTTCTGTGTTTTTCAAATGATTTGTAAATCATTTCTTTTCTTTTCATCACAGTCATACTAAGTGTAAGTTCTTTCTGTGCTTATTCTGCGAGTCATATTATGAAATAAGTTAATTAGGCTGAGCCTAGTTTATTTCTTTATTGGGCTAAATCAGTAAAATTAGATTTTGTACTTGTGCTAGTCTTGAGGTTTTTTAATGGCTATGTTTCAACCATTTAGTAACTTAATCTGAGGTCCTTTTGATGCATTTTTCATTGTTGGCGAGGTATATTGTAACTTTGTTATTTAATGACCAATAAATATAAGACCGGGGGGGGGGGGGGGGTTGTTGAAGTAATTTTGGAAAAAATACCGCAGCATCTTATAGGTTCGGCACAATCGAAGTACTTCTGGTTGAGGTTGTTAAGGAAGGGTTATTATGAATGGGGAATCGTAAGCATCTCTGTTTCTGATCCAGTGAATAAGGTGGGATGCTAACCACAATGCACACCTAGGCTGGAGATGTGGTGTTCGGTCCTGTCAATAGGAGTGGCTGGACGTCAATGATGGCAGGACGTATCACAGAGGAATATAGTCTTGAAAGAGTTAGGTCTCTTGAATATAAGTCTTGAAAGTAGAATTAGGCCTTCAACGGTCATTGAAAATTTGGAGGGTACGTTGGGTGGTGGCTTGTTTATATCAATCTAATACGTGAATCGTCGGTAACAGTTTGAATTGAATTGAATTGAATTGAATTACGTGAGGTACAACACAATTTTTAAGTTGGATTTTCTGACTGACAGTATGTTAGGTGTTTTAGGGTGTCATCATCTTACCTTCACAACTCCGCCCGTCGTCCACCAGCTTGTACCCCGGTCTGCAGTCACAATGGAAGCTGACCAGCGTATCGACACAGATGTGGGAGCAGTTGCCGTTGTGGACCAGGCACTCGTTGACGTCACATTTGCCCTCAGGTTCGTCTTCGCCTTCAGGACAGTCGGCCTTGCCGTTACACACGAAGCTGAGTGAGATACAGGTGCCACCGCCACAGTCGAACTGGTTCTCCTCACAGTGGAACGCCCTCTCTGAAAGGTGAAATTAGATGACTAATCGTTTGTCAAACCAAATCCCTTTTAATAAATTATCAACTTTTGGATCGGCTTAACACCTTTACTAGAAAAGGTTTGAATTATATTTCCCTCCAGTAAATATAAAGGAAAGCATGTGAAAACTCTTTTTTGTACGTTGAAGTTTAAGGCTAATCATTTGTGGGAAACATTACCTTTAAGATTCGACAGCCTTTAACATTCTTCCTGTTAAATATAGCAGGGAGGATGTAGAGATCGACCCATACAAGATAATTTTTGATGAGAATTTTAAATCCTTTTGGACCGGTTGCAGGCTTAAGCTTAATTATTTTAAGGGGTTTTGAAGTCCGGTAAGCAGGAGAGATTGTGGTAAACACATCCCTTGCAAGGTAAAGTTTAAAACAGAATTATGTGACTACACTCATTTGCGAAACAAATTATCAGAAAGTGTACCATTGGTTTAGACCAGCAGCAGACTTGAACAAAAATAATCTTTATGTAATGCCTCTATCCTTTGTATACAAGATAGCAGATGGTTCAGTGGATTTTGTTCTTTGAAGTTTCTTTCAGTCAAATCTTCAACAAAGTACCAATATCCACATAGCTTTTAAACAATCCTAATTGTAACAATACGTTGTCCTTGTCATGAACTTAAAAAACAAAGTTTGCAAAGTATGAGATCTGCACAGAATGGTCATGGTAAGGGTTTGTGAATTAGAGTTCACTCGTTCAGGATTAAAGGACAATTATAATTGTACCTAACGACACATTTACCAGACTATTTGACTCTAATTTAATTTCAAAATGCCTTAAATATTCAAAATAAAAAAATATCACTATTCAATAAGATTATAAGTTTTATTGCCTGTTAGTAACACAAAACAACATTGTGAGCCATATTTTACAAAGTTAAACCCAATATTCAAAACGACTTAGCTTGGGAAAAAAGTAACTACAAATTTAGTGTGTCGTGAAATAATTAAAAATGTTAAAATATTACATATAACAAGGTAGCCTACTCTATGAGAAATCACCCGCTATACTAGTAAATAGGGTAGTGGTTAATTTGAAAGTGTTTTTTTATGGGGTAGTAACTAATTTTGTATTTTGTTTAAATGGTTGTTCCTCATTTATTTTTCAGTTTTTAAAGTGAAGTGGTTATCACCATACAGACAACAAAATCAACTTACTGCAGTCCTCCTCATCACTTCCATCAGAACACTCAGCCAGACCGTTGCAATGCAGATGTCCAGGGATGCACCCCTTGTTATGACACTGGAACTGGTCCGGACGGCAAGTGACGTTCTTGCACACGTCCGGAGACTCGTCCGCGCCGTCCGGACAGTCGTAGTCTCCGTCGCACACCCAAGCTTGATGTATACACGTCAGACGGTCCGGACAGGCGAACTCGCGAGATAGACACACTGATGTGCGGTGTGGCTTTTCTGTGCAGTTCTATACAAAAAAGGTTGCATGTTAAAGTTTTTACTCTTAATTCTTAATGTATATAACTTTTAGTCAATGAATATCTATATTTATGTCAAGATCAAGATATCTATAAACATCTTGCCAATAAGCTTACCTCGGCTAATGCACAATGCGCTTCAGCATTTTTTTATATTTACAAGTGATGTATTTGTGTAAGATATAACTAAACTTTTTGAAGTGAAAGCGGTTCGAAACTGTGCAAGTACCTGATCTAACCAGATACCGTCATATTTAACGTCGAGACGCTAATTTTAGGCAGTAGCACGGCGGAATAATATGAAATAGTAAATATTGTGTTGACAACTTATACCTCACTGCACGCAAAGCTTTGTAAATACACTATGTACAGTAAAGAGTAATAACAAATCATGTAGTTTTTTGCAAAAAAAATTCATTACAGACATTTGGTAATCATGGTAGTCCATCTAGTCTGATACATTACCTAGCACTACAATTAATTGCTATTGATTACACAATACTATTAATTTATAATTATTATTTAATTTGATATATCTTTAAACATCATTCACTGGGTGCGTATCTTTATCACCCAATACACCAATGCAGTTATTTGTATTTTATAAATAGTTTATTGACCTTTTCTACAAGAAATATTCATATTTGTTGCATGTTTACTTTTTTCTAAGTCTCTGATTTTTTGACGTTAAATTTTGCCCCTCTCCATTTCCAACCGTTTCTTCAGACTCCTATTTTGAGACAGGTTTATTTTGAGAGGACTGCCCATTTCACAGTCATCTTTCGTCTTCTAAGATTCTCCCCTTTAGTGAATTTCACATATTGGTGAGACCCGGTACCAATTCACTTTTTCGTTTTGAGGTCTCCCGAGGCAAAAGACACCATCCGTTCAAATTATTATATTTTTATCCAGAGTGAATCTCATAGGTGACCAATAGTGATGTAAGACAACCCGTTGCGTTGTTTCTAAAATGGTTTGATTAAACATTGTCCACTAAACCAATCCTAACGAATAACGTGAAAACACACACACATATATATATATATATATATATATATATATATATATATAGATATGTTTTTTTTTCTAAGACAGGGCGTTCCAAATACAATACATTATTATAGCACTTTTTAATGCAAACATTTCTGTGCGAGTGAAGTTTGGCTCTTTTCATTTGTGGCTTATATGTGGCTCTTTATTTGGAAAAAAATTACCATTTTGCCCTACCCTATATTTTTTTTTAAATGCAAAGACCTCTATTCTGAATAAAATGTCATTAAAATTGTGTAATATGAAATATTACAATAATAAGACAAAAACGAACACTCTGAACATTTCTATTCACCAATCGAGACTCTTACCTTTTCATCAGATTCGTCTGGGCAGTCGTAGTCCCCGTCGCAGCGCCACCTCGCGTTGATACAGTAGCTGTTGTTGCCGAGAGCGCAGGCGAACTCCGTGTCTGGCGAGCAGGTCTTGGGGGGACAATTAAGCTCGTCCGAGCGATCACCACAATCATCGTCGTGATCGCACACCCATCTCTGCTGCACACACTTGCCGTTTGCACACGTAAACTCGTCCGTGCGACATGTCTCGTCTGCGTTCATGACAATTGTACGATTATTTACCATTGCTTTGAGGATACTAAGGTAGACATTCAATTTTTACAACATACCATATCATTGAAAAATGCACTACTAGCATTTAGTATTAGTAACTATAAGCAGTGTTTATGTTCAAAATTTAGTTTATTTATAGATTAGCCTATGCTCTGGCTCAAAAATGTCTATTGGCCTGTTCAACTTCTTAATCAAACGTAAAAAATCTGTTCAACAAGATCGAGGAAAATTTTATTTTTAAGGGGATTCGCCACTGAAAAGGGTGAATTTTTTTATTTAATGAGGAAGGTCGTGAAACTATTTTTTTTCTAGTAGGGTATAGTTTAACAAAACATGGAAAAATTTTGGTTTACTTCTAAATATAAATTATAGGCGGTAAAAAAATAAAATAGAGGTTTTTTCGATCAATTTGTAAGGGGTTTTAAAAATCGATATTCTGAAGAGAGTTCTTTATGGATTTTGATAAATTTGGTGTTTTTTTAAAAACAGTTATCTAAACTTAAAATTTAGGTAGATTCATAATAATATCTCAGATACTTTTTTTGCTGTGACACATTAAATATAATTTTTCTTCAGAAAAAAGAATTAGTTTAAAAAAAACGTTATTATTCAGTACCTAATTAACTTAGATACCTAATTCTACCAAAATATTTTCCTAATACTGTCTAGAATAAGTAGTAAAAATTTCAACAATGTACCTGTAGTGGCTCTAAAGATATATCAAATTTTGTATTGAAAAACGTGAAATTTCAATGTTGCGGATAACCGCATTTGAATAAGAAGGTGTCCTATGATCTTGTAGCTATCGTAAAGAGCAAAACCCCTTGGTTATAACATATAATAACATTCATACATGGATTATATCATACTTTTTGGATGTAATAGGGTCCAATGTACAAAGATATGTAAAAAAATATTTTTAAAATTTTTCATGATTTTTACCTATTTTCAGTGGCGAATCCCCTTAATGGTAAAATTAGAATAAGATTTATTTACGATTGTATAGAATATGTCACATTTATCGGATACATCCTTATAATATTATATAAATATGGATTTATGCATGGATAATATAAATCAAATATTTTTTAACAGACTAATTGAGTAAACCATCTTTCATAAACGTAAGTTCATACAGAACATGTAAGAATTTGAAAAACAGCAGTTGCAAAGGATTAAAATATAGCAAACAAAAGAGAAATATACTTATACTGTATAATAACTGGTTAAAGTTATTACTTAATAATGTTAGTGTTAGCACAAATTGAATAGGTGAGATTAATTTTATATTTGCAATTAATAAGTCCCTTATTAGAATACACAACATATTTCATTCGCTAAGTGATACGAGCAGTAAAACCATAACATGCAATAATGGTTAACACAAACTTAACTTGCATTGCAATTATAACATAGGAATAGGGGGAGGAAGATTAAAAAAAAGAATGTTTACAGTTTTAAATTTCACTTATAACAAATCCAAAACACATTAACACCTGAATTTATTCGTAGGCTAAATGTCCCGTGAAAAACTAATACAGTCAATTATTATGGGCTCAAAACCATAATCCGTCAATATAAATGTTATAAAAATGAATTTTACAAGAGCATCACTTAATATTTTTATTCCAATAGTTAAAATTTCAACACATTTTATACTAAGATTTTATGGCATATTACGTAAAAATGGCATACATTCAATATACATCGTTATGAACCTTAACGTTTTGACAAAAAAAATAGGTCAACAAGTCTTGTGTCAAAGACCTCTAACCTCCACGATAAACTGTGTGATAAAATACTAAATTTGTAAACCCACGACTGCTTGACTATATATCTGGTACATGTTTTATATGTCTTGTGGGTTGGAGGAGAGCTTTAATTTATGCAAATACCTTATTTACTTGTTATTGATGTTTTAAAATGTAAGAGTAATTACAGATCTAAAATAATCCCGCAAGCAAAATCTTCTGCTGATATAAAAATATATGTATTTATTAGATTTATAATAGTTGTACCTATTTCTACTAACTGCATGAATTATTCTCACTAAGACTTATTCGGAATCCTTTGGAAGGATAATTGAACGGTTGTAAAAAACAAGATGGTCCCCAAAAAGGCTAGGGCTACCGTCATTCTAAAAAATTAAACTTATAAACTTTTGGGTTTTTTCGCTTTAGTTATAATGCCTGAGAAAAAATAAATAAAAAAGAACGTACAATCACACAAATCACTCTATCAGGCAATAAATGATCTTACTGCACGCTTTTTCATCGGAACCGTCTGCACAGTCAGCATTATCATCGCACATCCAAGTCAGGGGAACACATTCTCCTATAGAATCCCGACATGTGAACTCCTCTGGCCCACATACACGGTGTTCTAAAACACAGGGAATGGTACATTAGATATTAGGAGGAGGAACACACTCTCCCACTCATTAGTAAGACGCATGCGTTTATATTCACCTCCCAAAGTTGATTGAGTAATTAGTCCTGTAACATTTCAATACTCCCTGGAAATGCTAATTATTCCTGAAACCTGATGACTGGAACAAACATTTTACCACCATTATTTACACACCACATGCAATAAAGTTTAAGATCGAACATAACATCGGCTGTATATAAAATATATCTGGGGGTTCCGGATCGCCAAGTGTGGTGAACACTATTTCTGAAACAAAACATATAACGTAAACTATTCACTTAGGCGAAACGTGTAACGGATTAAGGGTAGCTCAGAACTCAAAGGTCAGGTGAAACTATAAGCAGTAGGTACATAAATCCACAAAACAAAGAGTTTGCACAAATATGCGAAAACAACTTGTTAAACTCCATTGCTTTCATATAGAACACTCTAGTCCTATATATAAATCATTCTCAATAGTTATTTTTCCATCTATAGAAAGTACACATTATAAAAGTTCAGCTACTCCCACCATAAATACATTTTGAATTTAAATTTGCACCAAATCACAACGAAAATGCATTAGGAATATTTTCGCAATGCAAATCATTGAATAATAAGCCACTAATAGAATATTTACAAGAACTCCGTGAGTTCAACCAAAGATGCACTTAGCTTAGCCGGGAATATTGAATGTTTAGCATAACAAACAGAAATGTGCCTTTGTGAAGGGTTTCCGAATTAATTACCTAAGGCGAAGTGGTTGGCGTTGAACAAAGACAAGATTCAAACTTGTTGAATCTCTTGGCTTTGAAATGTTCTTGTTTTAGTAGCCCCCGGTGATGGAACAGTTGAGATGTTTGTTGTAAATGCATTCTGAGATTTACTTAAAATGCGTATTTATCTTTTAATTATGTTACTAAAAAAAGGAATCTAAAGATTACATATATCAAAATTAATTTTGTAATTGAGGAATTTAATTTAAGTTCTTAGACCAAAATTACTATTAAGGTCCAAGTATGAGCCCTGCAAAACTAGGAACCATCAAAACACAAATACTAATTACTATTAGGATTTGAGTTTATACAGAGTGATTGATATATATGTGCCAGCCGTTTTATTCGAAAACCATAAGAGATATAAAAAAAGTTAAACGGTAAGTGCCTTGGATTTTTATTTTAAAAATTGTAGTAGAGTCGAAAAAATTATTTTAGCCGCCATTTTTCCAACATGGCCGCCTACTTTGATTTTTCTTATGGAACACCCTGTATTTTATGATGTATTCTGGTAGAAAATGTAATTTTAAGACGATTTTATTCGCGTAATTCTTTTCATAAACCTAACCGTTTCAAAGATAATATTAGTTACAGTTTTGAAATTTCGGCATGAGAAAGAGTTTCGATAAAGGCCTAAAAGCAGGCATGCCAGCTGTTTTATTCGAAAAGAATTTAAAATCTCACAACTTAAACCATTATTATCTTTGAAACTGTTAGGTTTATAAAAAAAATACAAGAATAAAATCGTCTTAAAATTACATTTTCTACCGGAATACATCATAAAATACAGGGTGTTCCGTTAGAAAAATCAAAGTTGGCGGCCATATTGGAAAAATGGCGACAACAATATTTTTTTCTACTAGACTACAATTTTTTAAATAAAAAATCCAAGGCACTTACCGCTTAACTTTTTTTGATATCTCTTATGGTTTTCGAATAAAACGGCTGGCACACTTATATCAATCACCCTGTATAGTCTCTAGTTTAGCAGGTTTTTTTTTGCTTTACACAAGTGTACTTTCATATGATCGTTTGTTATACAGTCAAACTATATCAATAAAACTAGATTTACTGGGGTTTTACGGTGGGATATGAAGGAAACATAAAAAAATAAGCCCTTTTACAGCTGAAAAAAGTTGATCGCATTACCAATGATAACAAAACGTTGCCTATATCCGTAATCACTACCACCTACTTCTACAAAATAATCTATTTCCTATGAGCTACTATAAAAAATTAAAATTAATTGAAAAAAAAAAACAGTTACTCTTCCCATAGTCATTGAGATCAATATAATAAATTAAGAAGACTTATCGAAGCAATTGTTTCGCCCATCCAAAACACACAAACGCCTGTCGCAGCTGCAATCCCACGCAAAGCTAAAGGGACAGATTCCTGTAACAGTTACAGGGCCCTGTTCACCCACAAATACACAAAAACAAACATAATTTATTACCTGAAATTCGGTTGATCACAGTTAGGGTCTACAATAAATTAGTCTTAGAGCCTAAAGGAAATTGTACTTGAGTTTTTTTGAACTTACTATTTCTTTGATTTCTGAACCACCTTAGTATATTTTATGGAAAGCTATTGCTAATGACCAAAATGGCACATTCAGATTTTAAACTACTATACCATAGATAGCTAGGAAACCTCTAGAAACGCAATCCTGCTCGCAGCCCTCTGTTGGTTTTCACAATCCTAAATTCTACAGGGAAAATCGAAAACTGGTTATACAATATAATATTATTTTGGTTACACAACTCCAAAATTCATTCCAAACCAGAACAGACGTAGACATTGGACTTGGACAAACAGACAATCGTTCCCTGAAGATTCCACCAGGATTCATGGCATTTCCCTCCGACTGAAAAATACTTACATTCACAAGACTTTTCATCTTTCCAATCTATACAGTCTGCATGACCATCGCATACCCAGTCCCTGGGAATACATTCTCCGTTACCGCACGTGAAGAACCCAGGTTTACATTCAATTGAACCTATAGCACTCAATAGTTAGTAGAAAAACAGACGAGTACAACAAATAAATACGTATTACCTAAGAAAATAAATACATATAAATCTTGAAATACAAGATAAATTCATATAAATGTTGTAAATACAAGATTGACGATTTATGACTATTTAAAAATAAATTAGACTTGCCTTTAATTTTAAAATTGGTAGATTGTAATCTTATGAAAACCTTCTAAACACAAATTGAATCGAAAATAAATCACTAAAAGGTATTTTACATTCAATTGCTACCATAAAATTTAAGCAAGCTTTTGACGTTGTGCAAATACATTATATTTATTGAAGTTTTCCTCCTTTCAACAGATATAAAGAACTTGAAAGGGGCGAGTTTGGAATGTAATTCAATTCCGAGTAAGTTGTGAGAAGATTGCACTAGTGAATACAGATTATTAAATTTAGTTGAAGGTGTTGTGGATGCAAATACAATTCTATGTAACTACTCGTATAATTGGGTTATTGAGTTCATATTACAGTAATATTTCAGTACCGAATGAAATAATTAAAATTGGTATTTATGATTTAGCGTCTTTTCTGAGAGTATTAAGTTAATAAATCATAACGGAACATTGTACATACGAATTAATAAAATCCATAGGAAAGTTACTAGACACCAAAACAACAACAACTTCAAAGATTATGCTGCCTTAACAATTAAATAACTTGATAAATTGGTTTGTCTTTGTATATGTGCTAACACCTCAAATGTAAAAACATCTGGGGAAGCACTGAGGTTTTATTATAAACCTATTTATCAGCTGTTACAATTACTACTGTACACGTCAAAGACAAACACATCTTGAGTTGACAAAAGCTTACTTGTTTGGTGTAGTAAATAAAAAAAAAAAAAATAGCAATATCAACAGAATATTCCATTGTTAATTACTCCCCTTACATATTTTTGATGTGTAGAGTATTCTATTAATAGTTAAACTATGTACGAAATGTTTACTACAGGTTTCAAGCTTTCAAAATAGTATTACACTGTTTACACAAAACACAAATACTCACGACAAGTATGAGGATCTTCATCGCTGCCGTCTCTACAATCGTTCTCGTTGTCACATTGCCAGTGAAGTGGAATACATCTGTTGTTTTTGCACTTGAACTCCGTGGATGAACATGATCGATTTTCTGAAACAAAAATAAAATGTTCTACTATCGTCACGTGTAAAGAGGAAAACCCCCTTTTGTTATAGCGTATAAAGTGTAGACTTAAAGGTTTTATTTTGATCATGTTACATATGAACCAAGTCTCCTACATTTTGTTATAACTATAATGTTGGTTACCTTGAAGAGTATGGCTGAATATTATATACGCAATCCGTTATATGCAAGATTATTTTTTATGACCGCAAGCAAAATAAAAAAACAGTAATATATTTTGTTTTCATTTATACTTTCACTCATATAAAATGTAATTCAAAGATTTCCAATTAAATTCGTGACAAACGTAAAAGAATAATAAAAAAAAAATTATTATGGGTTTTTAAACTTAAGGTGCCAAAAGAAAACCATACAATTCAAGCATTCAAAATTATATTAAAATATTTTCACTCATTACTAAAAATATCACCAAAGAGCAAGGATCTTAATCCCAGCTATAACAGTAATTGATATAATGCAACTCTATAATTACATATTTTCAGAACGATTAAATTAGAACGCTAAATGAGAAAACATGGTAATTCAATACAAACACACAGGTACCTAATGAAGCAGAAAACCCGTATTTAATCAGTTATAAATAATGACCCACAATAACACACTCATGTATGATATCACTCTAAAACCATATTAATAACCAGCAGAATTTTAACACTTTAATCAATTTATTCCCGTAACACGCTCATTAAATATGTTTTTGATTCAAACTGAGTGGACGAATGAGAATGTTCTATTCCCATGTTAAAATGTTCAAATCCGAGTTATCACATTTAACTAGATTTTTGTGGCCAATATTTAAATAAAAAAAAATTATGATTCTATTTGAGAGCTTCATTTGATTGTATTTTAAGATAAAACAAGTATGTATAACATTTTGGTGTTCTAATTCAAATGTTTATACGAAAAATACTTAGAAATGTTTTATTTAATATCATCATAGACTAATACTATTTTATGTGATTATATGTTAACACTACGTATAACAGTGTGTGCTCTTAGTCCCTTACATTAAATAATTAATATAATACGTTTAACAAATCTTATAATATTAGCATCATGTTCCACGTAAAACAATCGGCAATTAAATAAGTTATGAAATTTAAATCAGATTAACTAAATAAATTAAAACCACGTTATGTGCATAATATTTTATTTTAAGGCTTACCAAATAATTACTATACTCATAAATTACTTTGACATACTAAATTACTTTGAAATGTAATAAAATAAAACAAAAAAATAATAGTTACAAATCATAAAACATATTTTATCATGATATAAAAGACACAATCAACTGCTGTATTTTGAAATGTCAACGTAAGCAGAGAACATGCTTGCTGTAGCTGCTCTTAACATTTAGGTTAATAACATTTCCCTCGCGAAATTACCCGCCGGTTATTGCTTTTAACGCGCCCTTTTCATCTGCTACATAGCAAATTGAAACATTGGTGGTACAGAAGTCAATTTACGCTTTTAAAAGTTAAGGCTCGTAAATAACTGTTAGTATAGTTAACGATTAAACACCTCATGAAATATTTATTAAGATGCTTTCATAGCAACGTTTTAAAATGTGTTTAATGGGTAATGGGTAAGTAAGAATAAGGGTGGTTAGTTTAATCTTTTAAATTGTACTAAGTATTAATGGATACTCAGATTTTTTAGCGTCGCTAAAAACACTTATGACGCTATTTTAGGCTATATCAAAACGTAAATACCAACGATACTTTAGAGGATAACTATTTATTAAAACTGGTTCGTGTTAGTGTTCCTTACAATAGCTTTGATAATTTTTATATTAGCTCCTATGATAATGTTAGTATTTTAAAAGCATTTAGAATATGACATTCTTTGTTAGCGATTGAAAGAATATCAGTCGTACACTGGGACGGAAACCCTATGTAAATTTAGAGTACATGTACCATGTTTTGGATTGATAATAAAACCTTATTATTGTTGTGTCTAATGTTTTTAGTAATGTCACTGTCTAATGTTTATTTTTTATTTTTTATGATATAATAATTTATATTCAATGATAATATCTCCATAGAGAATAAGGCGAGGACAGGATTGGTTGAGATGGAGCTTCACGAGTGTAATACTTTCATTAGTGAAGAAGGACTCTTCTTTATACAGGGTGTTCATTTGAAAACTTTCCATATCTGTTGTGTGCAAAGGTAAGGCTTTTAACACTTGTTTGTTCTCATTTTCCCCTAATTTGGACATGCCAAATCCAATAAAATTATTTTCAATTTCGAAAAATGCCCCAAAAGGGCCCAATTTGGGGGGTAGGGGTGCTTTTTGAGAAATTTTCAAATGTAAACATGGGTTGTGTGATACATCAATTTAAAGGTCTAATCGCCCCGACTATTTTGGTGCAATAAAAATGTAATTATCTTTAACCGTATTTACAGGGTGGGTCAAAACGTTTTAAAAAAGGACTTTGAAGTTAAGTACCGTATTACCCGAACTACTGAACGGAACAGCGCCAAATTTCTTTCCAAGCTTATTCTTGATCTACTCTTTAAGATAACTTGTAATAAGGGCATTTTCCATGTTATTTTCTAATTTTTAAAAAATCTCAAATTTTAAGAATAAAAGAAAGCTGAAAACTCAAAATTCTTAAATAGCAAGGTATAACAAATTTCATACCACGTGAAAGGTCCTTTTTTAACAAACATTTTACGTATTTAAGTTTTCTTTCTATCTCTTACCGTTTAAAAATTGCAGTAGAAAAACTGAATTTTCCATAGTAATATTGCAACTAGTTTTCTAATAAAACAGACAAAATTCGTCTCTAGACACATTTAATGGTGCATTAACTGAAGGAAACAATTCATGATTATTGATACCCTGATTGACAAACAAGTCATTACGTTTTACTTTGTGAAAAACAAGTCTTATAGCTGATGAGGACAACCTACATGTGGACCGCTTTCTGTAGTACCATTGACTAGTCAATGGTAGTACTAATTTCAAAAAGTACTATTTTCTGTAGTATCTAATCGAATATGGTGTACACTTAAAAAAATAGACTTTATTTTTACTTATTGGGCAGAACAAAAGTGTTTCAGGATAACTGCAAATTGTTTAACAATAAATATCCAGGTAAGACCTTAAGTCATAAAGCTGTAAATGATTTAGTTAAGAACTTTCTGAAACTGGCTCAGTTACCAATGAGAAAAGAACAGGATGAAGGGTCCAAGATGAACTGACACAAGTAAAAGTAGTTGATCAATTTGTAATTAATCATAATACATCGTTGAGCAAAGTGCAATGTGTTTTGTTAGAAAACTAGTTATAATTTTACCATAGAAAATTCAGTTTTTCTACTGCAATTTTTAAACGGTAAGAGATAGAAAGAAAACTTAAATACGTAAAATGTTTGTTAAAAAAGGACCTTTCACGTGGTATGAAATTTGTTATACCTTGCTATTTAAGAATTTTGAGTTTTCAGCTTTCTTTTATTCTTAAAATTTGAGATTTTTTAAAAATTAGAAAATAACATGGAAAATGCCCTTATTACAAGTTATCTTAAAGAGTAGATCAAGAATAAGCTTGGAAAGAAATTTGGCGCTGTTCCGTTCAGTAGTTCGGGTAATACGGTACTTAACTTCAAAGTCCTTTTTTAAAACGTTTTGACCCACCCTGTAAATACGGTTAAAGATAATTACATTTTTATTGCACCAAAATAGTCGGGGCGATTAGACCTTTAAATTGATGTATCACACAACCCATGTTTACATTTGAAAATTTCTCAAAAAGCACCCCTACCCCCCAAATTGGGCCCTTTTGGGGCATTTTTCGAAATTGAAAATAATTTTATTGGATTTGGCATGTCCAAATTAGGGGAAAATGAGAACAAACAAGTGTTAAAAGCCTTCCCTTTGCACACAACAGATATGGAAAGTTTTCAAATGAACACCCTGTATAACATGGTCATCACGACTAAGGATGTATTCAAATTTATTTAATGAAGATTGCGGTTGTCTACTTATAACTTAGTATTAGTTTGAATACAAAACATGATCCATACAATGATTTGTAGATATATAGGAATTGATGACTAAGGTGAAATGAATTGCAAATTAAAAGTGTTAGGTTATAAAAATATATTCCTGATATAGAATATGCTAAAATTAAAAAGATTTGTGTGTTATAACTAAAATAAAATAATACGTCTAATGACATTAGTTAATCAAAATTAGTAACATAGATATTTAAACTTGAACTTGTTGACTAACAAGACGGTAAACGCATATAAAATATTGTAATTTAGATTCGCTCATTAGGGATAATGATTGGAATGACCAATCAAAATAGATCACCATTTACTGTATTCCATATGTATTTGTTGTCTTTAAAGTGATTAGTGGAAATATAAATATACATGTAACAAGTGTGTTATAAGAAGTATTTTTATTTTCTTTCAGAAAACTTAATTAAATGCACGATGTTGACCAAAAATTTATTTTCCTAAAAATCTAATCAAATCAAAATAAACTTTATTCTAAAAAAAAGTGTACAGTGGAAAGTAAACATACACTTTCAGTGAGACAAAACATCTTACTTACTATTACATAAAATAAAATAAAATTATACATGTAAAACATTATAATAGTATCAAATAGTTAGGGACAATATTAAATAGAAAAAGTGACAAAGTATTTGAGATTTTAAAGAAAGTTAAAACATATTGTAATACCTATTACCCCCCCCCCCCCCACCAACCATCATGCACTCACCAAACAATTTTGGTAGAATTTTGATTAAAATTGGTCAAGAAGTTCTCATTAGATAGCTGCAAATATCCAGACATATATTTTATTTCAATACCAATAAAACTTATATGATTTACCAAATGCTAAAAAGTGTGTTTAATTCGGTTTTTTAAACCCTGAGGACTCACTATATCACTGAATTATGTATGTTTCGTACCTAGGCCTAGGGCCGAAAATTAGGTTTTGCTG